TGAAAGAATCGGTAAGCTTATTTTTTCATATCACTGCAACTTTAACCATCACAAGTTTTCAAAGTTGTCGACTGTAAAACCTCGATGGTTGAGGACCATGAGTGATCTCTATACTAACTAAGGGGTTATTAGAACCAGATGGAGGGTAAAACTTTAGATTGGCATTGTTTCCTTTTTCTTGACATTTCGTTGGGGTGGCTTCTATTATTCTACAAATAAATTTGAGTTTTTTTTTCCCTCTGAATCACTATTAAGCAATAAGCAATATGGTTTTTAATTGCTTTTGCTTCCATAATCTCTTTGTTAAGACTAATGATAGTCTTTATAAATACCCTAATGGTAGCTGCAAATTGATACAAAGATAGTAACTTTCAATGGGCCTTGCCCAACACATTCATCAGGACCCACCTGGCATCGGGTCCCACCAAGTATACATACAAACACATGTAATACATATAAGAGCCATACAGATAGTTAGCATCCTATAAACATAAATCAAAGGACCGACACTGGAGCATTCGACCCAAAAATACTGTGAGAAGACTCGCCTCAATTCGATGATAAACAGTCACACACACACAAGCGGCTGCTACAATGGCTCCTCAAACCGAACACATTCAAACTAACCCTAATTACTATTTAAGGAAATAACCAACAAATAAAGGTCTAAATCATAATCCATCATACTAAGGGTAGAATACAATTTTACCATTCTCATACTTGACCCAACAAATCATGGCCCAAAATCCCTTCGGGTGGGTACGCTAAGCATACCACCTTATTATGCCTAGCGTACTAGACTTAACAGATAAGGAAATTGGGGGCTGAACATTCTACACGGAGCGTACCTAGAGGATACGCCCAACCTACTCCCATGATACCCAAAAGTCCATATTAAGCACTCAATGCCTAAAGTCTATTTGTCCAAATCACAAATCAAGCATGTCCTAACTGATAAATTGTCAACTTGATGCCTTTGCATGGCTCAAGGAGGTCTAAAATCAAACTCTAACTTCCTAACTTCACATAATGAACAACAATTAATGCATGGTTGAATTAAAGCCATCGAGATACAATTTTTATGCTCAGGGGACCTCAAAAAAATCAAGAAATGTTAACCCAAACATATGGAGTAGCTTTTACTCACAAGAATCAACCCAAAGGACCAAAATATCTCAAAACCCTAAGAAAACCTAGATCTAAGCAATGAACCATAAATGTTAAGACTTCTCCAATGAATTCCTTCTTCTTCATAAATATGATCAAAATGAGTAAAGTATGGACCTACAAGCTCATAGCAAATAAACACTTCTCCAATGAGTTCCTTCTTCTTCAATAAGCACCAAAAACACACCAAATCACTCAAAAGCTCAAGGATCTCACAAATAAGGGCTAGGATTTCGAGGGGACTGCTTTACATGATGGAGGCTAAACATAAGAAGGGTTTCTAAAGGATTAAGGTCTTTAAATTGGGTCCAAGACCCAAAAATTAGGGTGTGTCCCTACCACGAGTACGCCCAGCATACTACAGAGAATCCCCACGAACATATTAAGTGAACTACGCCCATCGTACATGCCATGTACGCCCAATGTACAAGCCAAAACTCATTCCCATTCTAACTTCCAATGACCATAACTTCTTTGTTTTTACTCCGTTTTCGACAATCTTTATATGTTTGGAAAGGTAAGAGCCCCACAATCCTATCTAATCACCTTGACTTAAAAACAAACCAAACTAATATCCTTAATTCAAGAAAGGATTCTGAAAACATCACTTTTCCCATTTGATACGAACTGAGAGCTTGGATCACCTAACCTACAATATCTACATCAAATAGGGTCTAAACCTTTCTTCCCTCAAAGCCCAAATCCTTATGATAATTGATTTTTAGATCACGACCCCGAATTAAGAAACAAACTGAAACAGGGTGTTACACTAATAACACAAACTTTAACAAAATAGTAAGACTAACCTCTCTACTCATCATCTTTTCTATTTGACCATCAAACTTAGGGGTTTCTTGATAGTTGCTGATGGGTTAGAAGCATTAACATGTCTGAAGCTCTGACCTAAAACATGTCTTTTGATTTAGCATATGACTAAGGAAGTTAAATATTGAATATGATCAATTTACCATTCTATTTTGTTTTGTGTTGAATAAAATGTTTTAGTTGATAAAATATCCGAATAAAGTTGCTAAATATTTATAAAAATATATACACAAAATGGCATACAAAATCCAAATTAAACATAAATCATTTCAAGCCAAATTCCTCATCAAATTCAAGAAAATGAGATTGAAGTATACTTGCATTACATAACTTAAAGTTCTTAATCTAATTGCATGGAGCTTCATAAAAATATATGAGATGGAGGTGATTTTAAAGTGCTCTACATTCTTTTAATCCAGCATCTTTAGCAACCAATCATACTTTATAAGTTAGATTAGTAGTTGAGATCTATACGATTGTTCTATATGTGCTAGAGATGGAATATCTTCAAGAACTAATGATTGGTCTGCATGCACATAAACAAACATCTAGACTTGTATTTTAAAAGCGTATCATTGGACATCGACAAAAAATGATGTCTTAATATTGACATGGGCGTATCTACCAAGGGCAAAGGTAGGTCCTAGGACCTACCTATTTGAGTTTGTTTGTCAAAAAAATGTCTTAAAAACTATTTTAAAAGGAGAAAACAAAGTTATTATGGGCAATTTGTTATTTTAAATTATGAGATTGATAACAAAAAATTGATCGTACTTAATCGACACTCTCAAAATATCAATAAATAAATAAATTGTTCTAATAAAAAGAATCCCATATGCCAAGGACTCCCGCTATGTTTGCCGCTTTAACAATTGACTAATAATCAAGTAGTTTTTCGTTAAGTCGTACGCTTTTTTTCTAGTTATATTTCAATTGGGTTTTCAAAATTTTTAATAGGTGGCGCTTGATTGATTTTAACCAATTGGACGAGTTTTTTAAGGTACACGATCCAACCCCCGCAAGTGTTGTTGATTTTTGGGATAATGACTTCAAAGGGTAACATATTTTTCGATTTGTATACATTTGGTCACTAAGTTTTTTTTTCCATCCACATTTACCCCTTCAACTTGTTAAACTATACACATTCAGTCCTTATGACCGGTTACTCCAGGTTGGCCGGGAAAAATAACTTAATAGGGTAATATATTTCTCATTTTGTACACATTTAGTCCTTAATATTTTTTGTACATATTTAGTCCTTACTGTTTTTTTTTTTTTCAAAATAAGTCATTTTTGTTTTTGTACTCATTCAGTACTTATGAATGATTTCTTTAGGTTTTTCTCACGACATCTTACATCGGACAATCATTGATGAAGTGTGTGGGATTGTTGACGTTTATGTGTAACGTCTTATTTTCACAACAAAAATTTTCATTTTTAAATAAGGAAAAAGTCCCTAATTATAAATCCATTATTAAGAAAAAAACGTTTATTCCAAAATACATTTATTGAAAATTAGAGTAATATAAGAAACGCAGAATCCACAATATTGTTGATGAGTGTGTACAATTATGCATTTGTCTTCCTACGATCAACGATAGAACCTTAAAACATAAACAATTGGGTAAGCACAAAGTTTAGTGAATTTTCCCCAAATTATTCGATACAACAAACATATTATCATGCATAACGAGCCCATACTCATCAGATTGGAATACCTTGGCTCAATCAGTTATCGGACTTGAATGGCAACATACAACAGGTCCAATTAGTAATCAGGAATACCCAGGGTTTGTTGGTATGCCGCCTTAACCCAACCGCTCTTCTCGAGCCTCCGTGCATACACCTTACAGCCGGTACGGCTATCCCACATAAAATATCGTGAGAAAAACCTAAAGAAATAACTTATTTTGCAAAATATATATATATATATATATATATATATATATATATATATATATATATATATATATTAAGGACTAAATGTGTACAAAAATATTAAGGACTAAATGTGTACAAAATAATAAATATATTACCCTATTAAGTTATTTTTATCGCCTAACCTTAAGTAACCGGTAATAAGGAATAAATGTATACAATTTAACAAGTTGAAGGGGTAAATATGAACGAAAATAAAAATCAATGACTAAACGTGTACAAATTAAAAAATACATTACCTTTTTAAGTCATTATTCCTTGATTTTTCTTATTGGTTTCACTTAATTTGGAAACCATATCATTTTTTGTTTTAAATTCGTTACTCAATATTGGTCTAATCAAATTAAGTTACATCTATTTTCAATATTTTACTACTACCACTACTACAATAAACATAAACGTAAGAGTAAAAGATATATTTTAAAATACAACCAAAAATTCATATAAAGCCGAAGAATCATATATATAGTTAAGCAAAAATGTATTCCATTGTTTTATCAACCAATAAGGTCTCTGATGTTATATGGTTTGACGTTAGTTGGGCGACAAAGTTTTTTATGTTTCTTAAAGTAATACCACATTAGCAAACACAATGAAAATGAAAATCATATTAGCAAACACAATCAATACATCACAATTATCTACATAAACAGTTGATGCTATTGAAATTAGACACGGTGTTAATTTAGAGTGAAGACGAATATATCATACAAACTGAACAATACACATCAAATCCCTTTCCTAAACAATGAATCATATAAGGAATGATTAATTACTTTTGAGAAAAACCAAGACCAGAATATGAGAAGTTTACCGATTTCAAATCAGATTCATAAACACATCAGAAAATCAAAGTTGAACATTTTTTTGTGGTCGCTCAGCTGAGGAACGATTTGGCTAGATTGTCACAAGAATCGAGGGATCGAATAAGCTGACTCCCAAGAATTAATTTCTTCTCATAACGGTTCTTCTAAATAATTAAATAACATATTAACTTAACCTATTACATTTGTCAAATTGGAGTGTCTTTTTAGCCAACCACTAAAAAAATACATACATGGATCAAAACTTTATGGTGTTGCATACACACTCTCATTATCATCTATACTTGAATCACCCATTTGGCTTTGTTCATCTTCAATCGTCGTTGGCAGTATCTTATCGACTGCACTCCACCCATTTGCATCTGAAAAATCCACCACACTATCCTTAGAGTCCGATGATCTTTGACTTGTCTCTTCAGGTGATTCCGGCGTATGTTGTGCCTCGTTTTGACTCTGCTCTATTCCCTCATCATCTGAATGCCAATCATCTACATCGGAATCATCCATCCGCTTCACCGGGATCGGTGCTTCATTCTCAAAATCCGATGTCGATGACCGTCTGTTTGTTTCTTCAAAATCAAATGGTTCCGACCCTTCAGCAATAGGTAATTCCGGTGAATGTAGGGTTTCGTTTTCGCTATGATCTATTCCACCATCTTCTGAATGCCAATCGTCTACATCGGAATCATCCATCACCTTCATCGGGATCAATACTTCATTCTCAATATCAGATGTCGAAGACTGTCGGTTTGTTTCTTCATAATCAAATGGTTCAGGCTCTTCAGCAACAGGTAGTTGTAGTGTATGTGGTGCCTCGTTTTGACTCTGCTCTATTTCCTCATCATGTGAATGCCAATCATCTACATCAGAATCCTCCATTTGCTTCACAGGGATCAATACTTCATTCTCTAATTGTCGATTTGTTACTTCAATATCAAATGATTCTGGCTCTTCAACAACAGGTGATTTCGGTGTATGTCGTGCCTCGTTTTGACTATGCTCTATTCCATCATCATTTGAATGCCAACCATCTACATCGGGATCCTCCATTTTCTTCAACGGGATCAATACTTCATTCTCAAAATCCAATGTTGAAAACTCTCGGTTTGTTACTTCAATATCAAATGATTCCGGCTCTTCAACAACAGGTAATTCCGGCATATGTCGTGCCTCGTTTTGACTCTGCTCTATTCCGTCATCATCTGAATCCAAACCATCTACGTCGGAATCATGCTTCACTGGTATGAGTATTCCATTCTCATTATCCGATGTCGACAATTGTCGGTTTTTTTCTTCAAAATCAAATGGTTTTGGCTCTTCAACATGTAATTCCGGCGTATGTTGTAACTCATTTTGACTCTGCTCTATTCCGTTATCATTATCCATCGGTTTCACTGGGATGATTACTCCATTCTCAATATCCGATGTCGATGACTGTCTGTTTGTTTTTTCAACATCAAATGGTTCAGACTCTTTAGCAACAGGTAATTCTGGCATATGTTGTGTCTCGTTTTGACTCTGAATGATTCTGTCATCATCTGAATGCCAACCATTTACATCTGAATCATCTATCTGTTTCCCCGGGATGACTACTCCATTCTCAACATCCGATGTTGACGACTGTGGGTTTGTTTCTTCAAAATCAAATGGTCCCAACTCCATTGTTTCATCATCATCGTCTAAATTCCAATCATCGGCATCTAAATCATCCACTTTTCGTGAAGATCGTTTGGTAAGATTTGGGTACGTTTCCTCGTCGTCATCAGAGCTCCAATCACCTGAATCAGAATCGGAATCATCCAATTTCTGATTATTCAAAGCCAGGCGAACTAATTTATCACGAACACTCGGTAAAGCAGGGGGTGTCGGAATTTGTCCCGGCTCACAAGTCACCGGCAAACCAGGTGGATCATGAGGAGCACGTGGTGTCTCTTCATCATCATAAAGTGCTTCAAGTATCATGTTCACTGCATCTTTCATGAACATAATCCTATTTCGTGTCTTCTGCCACCGTTTATTTTTTCTCCCATTTTCATCGGATGCCGGCGACCGCAGTGCCTCCATCCTCGTTTGCATCGCCAATGTTTTTCTCACTTCGTTACACGTCGTATCCAAAATCTGCAAGAAACCACGAACGATCGAAAACAACCTTAACCCTTCGTCTTTCCCTGACTGTCCATGAAAATAATTCCCGGTGTTCTTCACCATCGCCATTATCCGTTTCTCTTCTTCGATCATCCATGTGATATCGGCTTCTGCATACTCCATAAACCTCGTGAGAGCGTCATTAAACTCTGTAGCTCCTTCGGCGGTTGTCATCTCGTCGCTCATAAACTCTTTCGTTTTCTTCATCATGTTCCCCAATTTTGAAACTGTCGACGTTAGGTTATCGCCGTCAATGAGTGCTGCTTTTTTCACGTCGTTAAGCTCCTCACTTAGCTTCGACACAACCTCCATACCAAGTTTTTTTAAAGATTCCGGTGTTTGTTGGGTTAGATCAAGACCTCGTGTTCTAGCCACTTTAATTCCTTCATATCGGATTATTTCTTGAACCACAAACGACAAAAGCGTCGTTTTTCCATCGGTCCCTTTCACATCCGAAAGCTTCAAAAGCGTATCCAGCTTGAACGCCTGGGCTCCACCACGATACGTACCATCGTTCATTCGATTTCCCGTCTTCAAAACCGCTTCTAGTAGCCGGAGGAAGAGTCTGCTGCTTATAAGCTTGTCGCAAGCTACCTGTAATTCCGTTGAGTTACTATGAAATTACAGAATTACCCTCTTGAACGATATAGACAAAATGTCATATTAATACCTCCAACGTCGCGAATGATTCTTTAGCCATATGGTAATCCTCGTGAAGGGCACCCATGAACAATAAAGCTTCAAGTCGTTTAAACGCAAATGGGATTTCAACCAAGTCTTTGAGAAAACGTTCTGAAAGGCCAAGTTGGTTGATGTCGCCGTTATATAACCGGAGTTTTAGTTCTTCTTCTTGATTTGGTGCCATTTTCAACAGAGTTGCAATAAGCTCAACGGGAAGTTGGGTACCTGAGTCACACAGATATACATTACGTACGATGAGAATTAGAATTTGAGCGACATAAAAGACAACGAACATTACGATTAACGAAATCACCTTTTTTGACAGCTTCACAGACTTGTTCAGTGGTCACGTTCAATGCTCTTAGAAGAATCGCTAAATTCTGAGATTTTTTTACATCGATGATCTGAATCAACTTGGCTTGCGGATGTAAGTTCGATTCCATTTTCCCATTACGTTCTTTCTTGTTTTGAGCAGCCACATATCCGAATAGACCCACCATTGTTTCCTCATTCAACCTATTCGTTTTTAAAGATTTTAGTATATACATTTTATATATATATACAGATATATCTGTAAAAATTTAGACGCTTACTGGAATGATCCATCTTTAAGATGGTGCCAAACCATGGAACGACCCTGAACAGCGTTCACCTTGTCCCAGAAAAACGGCTTTAACTTTACTTTTGGGCTATCAGAATCTCCATCTTGTTTCTTTTCATCTTTATTAACAGTGGTTTGCGTTTGCTTTCCAGATGCAGGTGTTTTCATATTACTTGGGTTTGGTGGAGCAGGGCGACCACCCGGAGGCGGTGGTGGTGGTTGTGGAGCGGTAGGTATGGTAGGAGGTGATGGTGGAGCTTTTCGACCTGGTGGTGTTGAGACGGCTGGTGGTGGAGGAGGCGGCGGCGGCGACGACGGCGGTGCTGGTGATTGGAAAGAGGCTTGCCCTGGTAATCGACGGCAGGGTTTTCCTGGTCCTCGAAGAGTGGTTTTGCCTGGTGGGAGTGGTAAAGGTCCTGTTTCCGATGGACGATGGTTGTCGTTGGCCAAATTGGTGGTCTTCGGAGGCCGATCCGACACTTCAGTCGGTTTTTGTGAAGGACCTTTAAAAAACGACGAAGTTATATCAAACTGAAAAAATGATCAACCAATAATCGCATTTAAGATGCTTGAAGAAAATTATTGGTGTATAATATCCATGTACATGAAACCTAAGGCTTTTCAACAAAAATCAAGCCTAAAAAACATCACTCTTTTTAATTGATTATCGAACCAATTATAGTTATAACTTCATAACCTCATAGCTCAAGACATCTAGTATGATCTCATTGAGTGATTGAGTCCCATATCAGTGGTCCACATATGCTAGAGGTCCCTACACTATCCAACATGAACATTATACACCAACAAAAGTATAACAAACAAAACATACCTAATTCAGTTTTAGAGCCCTTAGAGCCTACATCGACAACAAGTTTATTGTCCTTTTGTCCTTTAGCCCCGGGTTTAAGAGCGTCACGTCCAACACAACAAAACAACACGACTGCAAAAACACCCAATGTTGCCACCACAGTCGACACCACAACAACTATCAATACAGCTGATCCACCCAACCCTCCCAAATCTATAAGCTTACGAGAGGGTCTATGATAGGAATTCGGCAATTCATTAGGTGATGTAAGTAGGGCCCGAATAGGAGACCTTTTGGCCATAGATGGTGAGCTTGAAGGGTCCTCATGAATGGGGCATTCCTTCTTCTCAAGATGATCATGATCATCACAATGATATGATTTGAAAAGCTTTTCTTGCCACCCTTGTTTTTCATCGTTGGATTTTGATGTTTTGGACTTGAAGTAAAGTAGATTAAAATCCTCGTTAGCTATAGGATTTTGTTCAAACTGCAAATAATTATAATGAAGAATCAAATACTAGACGATAACTATGTAAGTTTTTAAAGAGATTGGGAATGATCGATCATACTGTATTTTGGTCGATATATTGAGGTCTCCAATCGGGTCCATTGTCATATGAGGCTTTTTTATGGATCCAATGATTTCCTTCCAAAAGATCTACCAAAAACACACAAAAAAGAGCTACAAAAACGCCTACATAACCAAGCCTTTTGGCGTACGAGACTGTTGCATTCCATGAAACTGCCCTTTTCATTTGAATCGATGTTTTGTTTATAAAATTACGCCGAATTGGGCATTGATTCAAGCCTATAAATCTATCCCCAAACAAGCTCAAATCTCTTTTGCTTTTGCAATATATAAAGATTCAAAACCTCACTAAATTCCCAACAATAATGTGATCTTTAACCTACAGATAGAGTCTCCAATCAAACCCGGATGCTGACAATAATCAACATTTCATGAAATTTCCAATCTTTTTATGATTCTTGTTTCACAATGAATCTCCAAACAAAACCCACGATTTCTTTCTCGGATAAATTCCACAAGATTTCTCTGCCAATTGAGAATCAGAAACAAAACTTAAAAGAAACCCATAAATCTTTTTGCCTTCAAGATGATTCGAAAAGATTCAAACCCAAATTAAGACAAAAAGATATGAAATTTCTTAGCCCATTTCTGACCCCCAAATGCAGGAAAAAATGAATCCCTTATATGGGAATTGGTCGAGTTGATTGAAAACTCGAAAGATAGTTAATCCGAGAAAGCTAAAATGTTGGGAAAAAGTGAAGATTAAGAAAGTATAATGTTGGAAGAAATTGGCTGTTGGGGGAAATTTCTCGATGGGTTGGCTAAGTTTGATTGATTTTTAGGAAGAATAATCATAAGAAACAGGAAAAGTGGAATCAGCCTCTAGCATATAATTTTCTCGACAAAAAATGATTTCGAACGGTTGTACTTCATCAAACAAAATATAACATTTTCTATTAAATTTTGTTTAGACATATATTTAATTTATATAACCAAATCATTATCAATGATGACGTTTGTTTGCATTTTTTTAACAAAATAATAATACAAGTTTAAACTAAAATCAATATCGTTTTTTTTTTTTTAAATTTCTACCATACAAAAAAAAGTTGTGTTACCATCAGAACCCTTCTAGAAAATAGTAGGATTTTCATAAGGCATGCATCTTTATTTGTCAATATCAAACTCTAAGTATATTTAAAAGTAGCGATTTGGTATGAAACAGAAAAGTATTTTGCTATTTTCATTTTTTGATTGGTCTTTTTGATAAGCATGCGTTCAAATTTTATAAGTTAGATTTGCTGACGTACATGGGGATGTAGCTCAGATGGTAGAGCGCTCGCTTAGCATGCGAGAGGTACGGGGATCGATACCCCGCATCTCCAAACATTTTGAATTTTTTTTTATTTCATTTCATTCTTTAATATGAATCTATATTGAATAGATCAATAAATTCAAAGCATGGGAGATGCAGGAGGATTGCTTTTACATTGAAATCTGAAAGCGCTTGAGCTTTTTTACTGGAAGGTGAAATTATGTTGCATTAGTTCAGATTATGTCGAATCAAACAAAAAAAGTTCATTAAAATTTGTGATAATTATTCTGGTTTTGTAAATCATTTCAAGAGAACAGAGAATAATATGGGGATGTAGCTCAGATGGTAGAGCGCTCGCTTAGCATGCGAGAGGTACGGGGATCGATACCCCGCATCTCCACTTTTACTCAAATAAAGTCTTTTGACAATCTTCTAGCGCTTGATGTTTTCAGTTGGAAGATGATTTTTTTGTTGAAGAAGTTCAAAATATGTTAGATATCAGGTATGCATTTTAACTGTTTGATAAAATTCGTCACTCAGCTTTTTTAAGCTTACCATTGTTTTATGATGTTGTATTAGTAATTTAGTGGGTATCATTGTACCAACTAACCACATGAGATGAACCTGCCATATTAATAGTTTGTCATGCTTTCTTATGCATATCCACAGCGTTCATTGTTTGAAAAACGATAACCCAGCATCTAGGTAACACATATTGTGGTTTGAAAATCTATTGCTAGTGATTGTTCCAGATGATATTATTGGTTGCTAGAAAAAATAATAGGTTACGTACAATTATATTATATAGAAAATGTGTTGATTGGTATTTTACGTTATTAATGGTTGTTCAATAACGGAAACAAAACAATAATTATGAAAAAATTGCAACGAGAATATATGAACAAAGAATGCCCAAGTAATCAACAATCTTAAATTCTTATTTGTGTGTGATGGATGCATAACAAAAAACAAGGAAAGTACGAAGAGATTAACTAAACAAAACTCCAAAACTATGATGGAAAGTGTTCAGTGTATATGCCTACAAGTGAATGGATCAAAGTGACTTATTCCTTATTTATAGCAATGGTCCCTAGATTTAATATGGTTGTCACAAAAATACTCACAAAACTCTACCTTGACGTAAAACGTTATATTCAATACAAACACATCCTTAAGTGACCGTATATTCCTCATAACCAAACTCATATCCGTAAACTATGGATAGATAATCCTTGTTCACATCCTTAAGTGACTGTATATTCCACATTTGTCACAAATCAGTTTTCTATCCCAAAACTCTCTCCAACAGTCAAAATTTGTCATAAAAACGGGTATTTTAATAAGATTCAAAGCAAAGTCAAAACTTGGATTCATTTTCAATAATTCATATTTCTAATACATTTTTAATAAGAGTCAAAACAAAGTCCAAAATAAATCGAGTTCGTTTTAATAAGAGGCAAAACAAAGTCCAAAACAGTCTCCGACTCGACCCTTTAGACCCGCCGCCACTTGGACACGATGCCCCAGATCTTTGTTCGTTCAAGAGCTTCGTCCCTAAATGATAATGTACTTTAAATCTTGAACAAACTTAAACAAGTGTGCACTCTAGATATTCCTAGTTTAATATTCTTCAAGATTGATTTTAATTAACAAATCAATCCATTACACTTAAATACAATAAGTAAAACAATTCACAAACAACCAATTGCCAAACTTTGGTGAATCACACCACAAATGTTTCCAGAACGGTGATAAAATTAAAATAACAAAATACTTTTGAAAATTATCTAGAAATAGAAAGATGACAAGTCTAAACTCAAAACACATAAATCAAAAAGACATAAACATGATAGCAAGACTAAATATGATAAAGAGTAATCATCGAGGTGACCAGATCACCTTAAATGGAGTTTGAACTCGAAGGTTGGTCAAAGTGAAGGCTAGAGAGAAGAGAAACCAAAGCAAAAAAACAAATGGTCGGACCCTAATAACTTAAAATAAATAAAAAAGAAATGACCCATGTCTCAACCATACTTGGGAGCCTTTCCTCGTCAAGTGGAAAGCACATTCTTTGTTGCTTTGGAAATGCCCATGCCTTGAGCCAAATCTTGATCTACCACACATTATTCTTCCTTATAAACATTATGTTAAATTACATGAATGGTACATATGGACTGGGTTAATTTATATGTTTGGTCTCTAACTTATTTTTTTTTAACTTGGAAGGTTCCTATTGTTTGTTTTTGTTGTGCACTTGGTCACTGTCTTACCTAAAAATATTATTTTTCCATTGATTTTTTAATTTATTTAAATAAGATTGGTAGGTAAGGTAGGTGAGATGATGGTGGGATTAGGGGTGTGTTTAATTAAATAAATCAATAAATCAATGACAAAATAGTCTTTTTAGGTAGTACAGAGACCAAACACGCAACAAAAACAAATAGCGGGGACCTTCCAAGTTAAAAAAATAAATTAGAGACTAAATGTACAAATTACCTCAAACCATAAGCCGTTCGTATAATTTACTCTAGTTAAATAAAAAAGACCGTTGCAACTTTTTTTTTTCTATTAAACATCTTAATTTGCATTCCTCTGACCCAGTGCCTTTTTTCTTGAACGTCTATTTCTTGATCAATTAAACATTGTGAAAACATTGATTGATCTAACACTTAATCACTTCTAGTTTGCCATTTTGCTTAATCCAAGGAAACTGCCGCCCCAAAACAAGTCAAAACATCCATTATTGATTAATAAAATGCGGTGCAAATCAAATGGATTGTTACCCATTGAAACCATTCACTCCTTAATCGATCCTACTATAAGACTATGAGGAGTGGAGGATGTAAACGATTGATGCTGACTTGGACATCCAAGTCAGGCGTGAACACCGTCCCGATGTCCGGTGGCTTGGTTGTGACGTGGCTGGTAAGACGCGCGAAGACAACCAATTAAGAAGAAGAAAGGGTTGACAATATATTTTTGATTGCTTTCTTTGTCTCTTTTTCGTTTTCTAGTGCGGACCAAAAAAAAGTTCTTTCATTTTCAATTTAAAAAACAAATATTACAACTATAAATAATACGTATTTTACATACATTTTACACTACAAAAACACACAATTTCTTTCCATTTTCTTTATTTTCTTCAACATATGGATCCAAATCAAAACACACCACCCACTACAAACATCCTAAACACTACAAATGATTCATTTGCAAATCTTAGTTACATATAATTGAATATCGACCCGGAAAATTTAGGTGCATTTTTTAAAATTCAACAACAAGTTCTTGAAAAGTATCACAACTAGATTCTATGTTTTTATTTTTTTAGTAATTTAGGTTTAATTTTTTATAATTTTAAGTTTTTTTAGTAATTTAGGTTTAATTTTCTATGTTATGTTTTTTTATGTTGTTTTAGTAATTTAGCTTTAGTTTTCTATTTTTTTAGGTTTAATTTTCTATGTTTTTTAATTAATGTAATATGGTTTCATTTAATAAAAAATATTTTATTATGTTTTAAATTATGTTTTTATTTAATTTAATCATAAAAAAATTATGAAGTGGTAACCATTTCCAATATCTAGTTGATTGGTGGTGAAGCTGACGTAACATAAATGTGACTACGCTTTTTCAGTAGGTTGGTGGTGACCATTCTCCACAACCTAAATGTCAGTCAACTCTTTGGTCGGGAACCTCAAGAATACCAAGTCGACCTCTTGGCACCCAAAATTTTGCCCCCCATAGGCCCATACAAACAAAAATCAATGAAAGAATCAACTTGTTGCACCCAAAACTTCACTCGCTATGAAGTTTATCTTATTTTAACTCGTGAACTTATTAAACTTTACGCATTCCAATAGGGTTAAATGAGCTCCATAAAATGATATAAATGCAGATAGATGACATACGATTTGATTATACATAAGTTTGGTACATTCATCTACACATGTGTGTGTTTTAAATGAGCTCCATAAAAAGATTTATCTCTATAATGATTTGATACATGACATGACTATGAATTTATAGTGAAAGTCTTCATGCAAAATCTTTTTGAAAATTAGATGTTAAAATTATGTAAAAGTCGCAAATTATATAAACTTTTTGGAAAATTAGACTCCAACAATTTTGATAGTCACGGTGTCACGGGGGGCTAACCGATGCCTCCACCGAGAAAACCTAAATTGGCTTCACGTGCTAACACTAAAGCCAGCACACCACCCTTTTTAGCAATCATAATTTGTCTGTAACCAAATTTCCAAATCCAAACCACCGTGCCTTCGAATCTTGTACAATACGCATTAATAACTGTACTTTCTTCTGAACTTATCAATTTCAACCTTGGAATAAATCCCACCATTCAAGCCATGAGTGATAACAAGCCGAATTCCGCCATTTTTATTTCTTCCGAGTTTCTGCAAATTCAGTAGAGATTGAAACAAGTAATAATGTGTTATGTAGGTAAAGCAACGAAGATCTTCATCTTCTTCATTGCCGTAATAGTTGTCTCTGGTCTCGTCATCGG